CGGTGGCGTCTGCCCCGGGGCACGCACCTGTCAGTGGGGACAGCAGGGCACCCGGGAGCACTCACCCCCTCCCCCAGCAGAAGACCCCGGGGCGGCGGTGGCGCGGGAAAGGACGGGAGCCGGAGGCGGGGGTCCGTGTGGGCGCCCTCCCCTCCGCGTGCCCACGGCACCCGCTGCTGCCTCACCTGTCACATCTCTGGGCCCGGAGCTCCCAGCCCGAAGAGCCACCTGATAAGCGCCCGTGGCTGAAAGGGCTCGGGCTCGTCGGTGTTAGAATGAAAGGCCCCAGAGCCCGAGCCGCACACTCCCGGGTGGTGGGGGTGTCCCCGCCCCGCGTGCACGCCTGAGACCTCCGGGTCTGTGCGTTTTAATAAATAGTTCAACCCACGTCGGAGACTCTGTTTTTACTTATTCAGCATAAAGTCATGTTCTCAGGAAAGAAGATCTTCCTAAAGGAAATAAATTGGTGTTTCCTTAAGCACCTCCCGCAGGGCACCGACCGTCCCGAGGCACCGGGTGGGGCCTGGCTGTTCTGCCAACAGCTCCTGGGGCACCTGTGGCAGGTGAGGGGGCGACGGGGCCTCCCGAGGTCCTGCTTCTGGACCAAGGCCGCGGGGCTGTCAGCGAGAGGTCCGAGGCAAGCGCAGAGGCCCCACGCCCAGGTGGCCAGCGGCGTCCCGGTGACCGGAGCACAGGGATGGGCTGGTGCCTGGGGGCTGGAGCCCTGCCGGGCGTCTCCTGTCCCCATGCACAGCACCCCCCAGCGTCCGGGGTGAGGGCCAGGGAGGACAGCCCGCGGGGGGCCAGGCCGCGCATTGGTCCCCGGAGCCTCAGGGCGTCTCCCCGGCCACCCTGCCTGAGGCCCAGCCTGGCCCAGCAGCGTTCCCGGGTGCGCGGCCTTGGAGGACCCTAGCCCCGCCCCCCGCAGCCCTGCAACCCTGGACAGGCCCCTAGCCCCGGTTCCCTGCACCATGGGCCACCCCACCCCGGAGGGGCACGGAGAGTCCTCTGCCCGTCGGACCGCCGTCACCAGTGCTCATCCCAGGGCCTGGCCGCTGTGGTGTCCACACGCGGGTGGGGCGCATGTGGGGGAGCAGGGGGCCCGCCAGAGCCCAGGGAGGGCGGCGGTGCCCACGCTGCACACCAGGCAGAGCGGGGGAAGGTGGCCCCAGGGCCAGGCCCCGCCCCCGCAGCACCCTGGCCTCCCAGGGCCGCAGGACCGAGGGGGCCGCTGGAACCGGGGCTTCTAACACATTAACATTTTTCAAATCCCTGCAAATAAAAAGTTTAACGACAGCGAACACGTACAAAAAGCAAAGCACTGAAGATCCCAGCGTAGACCTGAGCACCTCCTTCCCGCACGTCCGGCCCCTGGTGGGGGGACGCCCGCGTCTGGCCTGCGTTGAACACTCGCTTTAAAGACTCTCTCCGTCGACGTTTTCCTCTTAGGTTTGCCCCACGTCATTACAAATGCCACAGAAGCGTGACTTCATCCGCTGCCGAGCCTCCCAGCGCACGGACAGGCCCTGGGCCACCGAGGCGCCGCTCTGAGAGGCCGTGGGGGGAGCGTGGAAGCATCGAGAAGTGGGATCTCTGCCCCGGGCGCGGTGGGGGTGGGGGGTACACGTGGGGCTGCCCGAGGGCCGTGGGCGGGGCCTCCCACCACCCAGAGGGACAGAGCCCCAAACCTGTGACCAGTTTTGGCCTCTCCCGGCCAATTCCCCAGCTCAAAGCGTTTCTCTAATTCCTGTTTTTTAAGAACTAAAGCAGCAGCAAACATCCCAGGGAGCAAACGTTGAGCCCCAATCCCACCGTCTCCCTAAGACCAAGAGAGGTGCCCTCACGGGGGTCCGGGGTCCGGGTGTGCGAGGGCCGCAGGGGCCGCAGGCACGGGGAGAGGCCGAGTGGGCCCAGCACCCACGGACTGTCCATTCCCTAGGAGTGTGCCCTGAGCTGGGGGTTCCCGTCCCTGCCCAGGGGACCAGCTGTGCCAGGACCCCACGCAGCCCACCTGGTAATAACCAGGCAGGGTGGGCTTCCGCAAGAGCTGCACCCAACCTGCCCCTCCGGGCCCCATAACCTCCTACCTCGCAGCGGTGGGGGGCGGGTTACCTGGGGCAGGGGCTTCCGGGTTCACATCCGTGGAAGAACCAGCTGCTGGGGGGGGGGGCTATGCTCATCCAGCTGCCTCTGGAGAAGGTTGCGGAGGGACGGCCAGCCGCGAGCAGCCCCACTCGGAGCCCTCAGGGCGCCCTGCCCCAGCCCTGCAGGGACAAGCCCGCCAGGCCAGGTGTGTTGTGGGGGGACAGCACTCCCCCCGTTGCCCTGAATGGAGCCCCACGTCCCGGGGTATCCCGGGGTCGGCCCCGGGGCTCCCCCACCTAAACTGCACACGTACTCAGGCCCTAAACTAAAATGTCACAGGCCTGTTGGGGAGGCTCAGATTTCCCGGCCGCAGAACATGAGCCTGCTTGATAAAACGATTTTGGTTTTGATAAATGTGGACTTTCTGTGGCAGAGACAAAGGCGCCCTTGAGTCCAGAGGGGAACCTAAAACGGCACATTGCTGAAAAGTATTTCCTGATAATATTTTTAGCACCTGAAAAAAAAAATATTTTTTCTCCCTCTTTTTTGCCTGTGGAGTTGGGGGGGGGGTGTTTTGTTTTGGGTTTGTTTTTTTTTTTTTTTGAAATGTAATGCCCACAGTGGTGGGGCCTCACGTTAACCCCCCGTCTCCCAGACCAGGTCCTAACGGGCCCGGGGTGGAGGCTGCAAGCAGGCAGCCAGGCGCGGCCCCAGGTAAGCTCGGCCCCGTTGGGGGCCGCGACCCAAGCGTCTGCCCGAGCACCTGCTCTCTGGGCCGGGCCCGGGCCTGAGCCTGTCACAAAGCCGCCCAGGGGATTCCCTTGGGTGGCCTGGTTGGGTCCTGCCGTGGAGGCCAACCAGTCCCAGCATGTCTGGAGAAGCAGGCCCTCCGTGGGTGCACGTACTGGGCACCACTGTGTGCCCACGAGCATGCTGGGCTCGGGCAGCCCTGCTCCCGATGAGCCCCCAGGTGGACCCAAAGCCCAGCCCAGACCTGGACCTTTACTAGGATCCCCTGACGCACGTGCTCAGGAGAAGGAGCCGAAGAGGCGCATGTGGCAATGTCTGTGTGTTGTGTCTGGGAGCATGTGTGTGTGAGCTGCACACGTGAGTGAGCACGTGCTGTATCCACGTGTAATATGCATGTGGAAACGTGAGAGTGTGCATGCATGTGTGAATGTGAGCAAGTGGGAACGTGCCCTTCCTCCCCAGCTTCCTGCCGAGAGCCCCGGGAGCCCCGTCAGGCTGGATTCTGCTCCCAGCACGACCTCGGCAATTAGATGTCCTCTCTGACTTCTTTCCTCCACAGGTGGGCGGCTTTGACCTTTCTCGTCCTTCAGTGGAACCGCGGCGGGTGGGGTTGTCCTGCTGTCCTGGGGGGTCCCCGAGGCAGGAACCTGGCCCCGGGCTGGCCCCGTTGCAGCCGAGCACGGCGGATCTGGAGAGTTCAGGGGGAGCTTGCTCTGGGGGTGGTGGAGCGTGAGGTCGGCCCCAACAGCGGCTGCCTCCTTAAGCTCTGGCTCTGCCCTGACACTAGCCTGAAGGAACCTGTGTAAACGTGTAACACACACAGTCAAACGGCCTTTCCATTATTTCTTCCAAAACACACTTAATGCTCCCGGCTAACGGCTCACCGAGGACGTCGTAGGACACCCAGAGCCCCGGTGGTGGCGCTGGCTCACCGGCGTCAGGGGCTCCAGGCTTGGCTTGTGGTCATGCGTCCCCCGACAGCAGCTTCGGTCGGAGACTGGAGCGTGGGGAGGTTGGCTGAGGGCCCTGCCCTGAGCCCGAAGGGAGACACTCAGAACAGGGTGTGAGGTCCGAGGACCCAGAGGCAGGGGAAGAGCTGGGATGGCCACAAGCTGGGGACTCGGCATCTGGAGCGCGGCCGGAGCGCCCATCCCCTAGCCCCCAGGCCCACGTGGACCTGTGCTCCCCACGACAGCCGCCGAACCGGAGTCTGCGGGACATTCCCTGGCCATGAGGTTCCCTTGGGGCCCGGAACCCACCCGGAAAGCTCCCCAGGGGCTCCCCCTGTGTAGTGTCCTGACCCCTCCCCGGGCGGGGGTCCTCGCGAGGGATGGGGGCCTCACCCCAGGGCGGGGGGCAGGTGTGCAGAGGCTCGGGGCTCGGGGCGGCGGGGGTGGCCTCTGGGCACCTGCGGAGCTGGGGTGTCCAGGCCCTCCGCGGGGGGCTGGCAGGGCGGGCCCCAGGCCCCACGTGTCAGGCTTCCTCGGGGTCTGTCTCGGCGCCGCAGCGGGAGCCGGGCGCCTCCTGTGCCGCCGCCCTCGCCCGGCGACCGGGGACCCCGGGGGGAGGAGGACGGTCCCCCCGCAGGACGCCGGTGCGCGCCGCGCTCGCCTCGCCGGGGCCCCTCCCGCGGGGCCTGGCGCTTTAAGGGCGGCTCATTTGCATGGCCCCGCCCCGGCCCCGCCCCGGCCCCGCCCCGGCCCGGGGACCGCCCGGCTGCGTATTTAAGCCGCGGGCCCTGGGGCGGGGCTGGCCTGAGCGCGGTCCCGCCCGGCGCCTTCCTCGGCCGAGCCGCGGCCCCAGCGCGCACAGCCCCGCGGTCGGCCCGCTCGTCCCCCCGCTCGTCCCCCGCTCGTCCCCGCTCGTCCCCGCTCGTCCCCCCGCTCGACCCCCGCTCGACCCCGCTCGACCCCCGCTCGACCCCGCTCGTCCCCGCTCGACCCCGCTCGTCCCCCCGCTCGACCCCGCTCGTCCCCGCTCGTCCCCGCTCGTCCCCGCTCGTCCCCCGCTCGACCCCGCTCGTCCCCCCGCCCGCCCCCGCTGCGCCCCCGCCCGCCCCCGCTCGTCCCCCCGCCCGCCCCCGCTCGACCCCGCTCGTCCCCCCGCCCGCCCTCCCGCTGCGCCCCCGCGTCGCGGCCGCCGCCCCCCGCCCCCCGCCCCCCGCGATGCTGCGCGGCGCCGCCTGGACGCTGCTCGTGGCCGCGGCCCTGGGGCTCGGGGCTCGGGGCGCGCGGGGCGCGGTGGCCCTGGCCGACTTCTACGCCTTCGGCGCGGAGCGCGGGGACGCGGCCACCCCGAAGCAGGACGACGGCGGCTCGGGGCTGCGGCCGCTCTCCCTGCCCTTCCCCTTCTTCGGCGCCGAGCACTCGGGCCTCTACGTGAGTAGCCGCGGGGCGCGGGGCGCGGGGCGCGGGGCGCGGGGCGCGGGGCGCGGGGCCGGGGGGGCCTGAGGTCGGCGCTTCCGCGGCGGCGGGTCGGGCCGCCTGGGTTGGGGCGGCCCCGCGCTGCCCGCCTCAGTTTCCCCGGGGCGGCGGCCCCTCTTCTCTCCCGGCCCCTTCCCGCGAGGCCCGGACCAGGGCTGGGGACCGCAGGAGCCGCTGGGCCCGGGTCCGCGTGCGGGCCACAGGCGGAGTGAGCGAGTGGGAAGGTGCCCTCACCGCCCTGCACCCTTAGCACCCTTACGGGGGACGGCCACTGGGCACGGGCACCCACTGTCCCCGCACGCAGGCCCGAGCCGGGGTGGGCCAGCCCCACGGTGCCTCCCGTTCCTGGTTCCTGCAGCACCGTCGCCCCAACCGCGACCTCTGCCGCCCTCGACACCTCCCGCCCACTCCTACATGTGCCCCTGCCTCCCCCCACGCTGCCACCTGCTCCCTCAGCTCCCTCCTGCCACCACCAGTGTGTCCCCCCCCCCCACCTCCAAGGCCACCGGCGCCGCTGCGGGCGCTGGACGCCCTCCCCCAGCACCGAGTGGCCTCCGCCGAGACCGTGTGCTCCCTCCACCAGGGCCGCTCGCTGCGCAGCCCAGTAGCTACCTGTCCCCACGCCCGTGCGGAACGGCTCCCGCACCTTGGCCGCAGCATCGGGTCCGGGCAGTGCTGGGCGGATGCCAGCGCCCTGCTGAAGGGCCCCTGGGCCGGGCGGGACCGGCCTCCCGCAGCACGTGGGGGACAGCCCAGAGCTGCGCGCGGGGTCCGCGGAGGCCACAGCAGGCCCACGTGTCCTAGAAGTGGCACAGCCCGGTTGGCACCGTTGTAAGGGAACGCCGTCACAATGTTCCGTACGCATCTGGGCCAGGCTCGGCCTTCCCATCAAAGTCACAGGTGAAAATATTATTAAAACGGTTGACCCTCTTTAACGGCCTGACCGCAAACGTCTACTGTTGCCAAAACCACTGGGAGAAACGGCCCTAACGTGGAAAGATCTGCTAGGAAAACAAGTAGTTTCATCAGAAACGAACATGACGGCCGCTAACAGAACATGTATCTCCCTAAGAGCTTTTTCCTGAAACAAAGAGAACGTTGGAAAAACACTTGCCGTGTGGACGCGGCGGGCGCGCTGCGCCTTCTCCCTGAGGGCGAGACAGTGGGGCTCCGGGGGCAGGGCCGGACACCTCGGAGGGGCCGGGTGATGATTACAGCCGGGCACAGAGGGACGGTGTTTGTCCCAAAGCGCGTGGCCTGGCCAGGGCCTCCCGTGCCCACCCGGGGCCTGCGCCTGGACTACCAGAGGGCCGATGGGGAAACTGAGCCTCGGAATGCAGATTCAGGGCCTTTAGGCCACCGTGTGCAGCTGCCTCCTTGCCGTCGCATCTCAAACCCAAGGCCTGCTGCCTCCCTGGACCCACCGTCCCCCTCCGATGCGCCCTCCTTTCCCTCGTCCCCTCATTGTCGGGGCCTGGGCAACACCTCCCACTTCCCAGCCTGGCACGGCCACAGCTCTGGGCGCGGCCACTGTCCCCGCGCATCTGGATGCCCGTGGGTGCCCCCTCTCTGGCCTTCATCTGGCCCTCCCCTCGAGCCTCCCCTCCGTCCATAGGGCGGCGGACGGAGCCCTGCCAAGCGTGAAGGAGACTCCCGTCTCCCTCAGCCCCTGCAGGCCCCCAGCCCTGAGGTGGGTGGCTCGGCCCCCGCCACGCACACGGGCCACGCTTGGTGGTGGCACTTGCTGTTCCTGCTCCCGGGGGTCTTCCCCACACATGCAGGTCTCCTGGGCAGCCCCCGACGAGGCCTTCCCCCAACTCTCCCGTGTGCCGCCCCGACCCCACCTGGTTGTTTCCTTGTTCGGTGTCCGCCTCCCACCTGCGGACGCGTCACTATGAACTCACGGTGCGTGTGTACGCATCTGTGTCTTGTGACACGGCACCTGTGCGTGTGTGTGCGCGTGCGCACAGCGTACGTGCTTCCCGGCTGGGAGGCCCCGTGGCACCAAGCACCCCGAGTGCTCAGACCTGGTTGCCAAACGTCTCCCTGGAAGGGACGAGGGCTCTTCGGGATGACATGAACCCTGGTGGGAAAAGTGCAAACGGAACCCGGACATCAACCACATGCCGGAGTCAGACGTGCCCGGAGGCCGCCGAGGCCACCAGCGGGGCCCTCTGGCCACAGTGGGACAATCCCAGCGTTGGAAGAATGGTTACTAGTAATAGGTTTTACTCCATCAGATAAAGGGGGAACCGGGGGGGGGGGGCCCTGGGGGAAGTCGGCAGCGAGCCCGTGCTACCGAGGGGCGCGGGGAGCACCACGCCAGCCTCGTGCCGTCACCTGGGCCCTGTGCGCCTCCAACAGCGTGTCCTTGCCGGTGGGGGGGTCCGGTCTGCCCCTCGCCGTCCGCCGGCTCGGGAGACACTGCGGAGGCCGCCAGTCCGCCCAGGGGAGGGCGCGCCCCGGGCAGATCCGCGCAGGGATGCGACAGGCTGGGGCAGGAGGACGCGGCCGGCCGCGCTCTGGCCCTCCACCCGCCCGGGCGGCGTCCGTCGCAGCAGAGACACTGCCCGAACGTCTTCCTGGTGGGATGGCACCTGGCCCCCCGGAGGCCACCTGGGAACCTCCCCAGCTCCTCCGTAGCAGGTCGGGGCGGCGGTGAGCGGCCCCCCCAGCCGGGCCCCGCGCAGCCATGTGTGGACGGCGGCCGGTGAATCATTGCGGGGGGGGGGGAGCGCCGACCCCTGGTGTGGGCCCAGGTCGCGGGGGGCACTGCCCGCCGGCTCCCCACCCGGTGCAGACGCTACGTGAAATCCCCGCCCCCCAACATGAATCACGGCTGTTTTGTCCCCGGGCCCCCAGCCTCCAGGGGGCCTCCGCTCCCGGGCGCTGCGGCCTCGTCCGGTCCCGCTCACTGCGGTGACGTGTCCCCGACCCCACCGCAGGACACAGGCGCCTCCAGCCCCTCCTGACACTCGCGTCGCGCAGGCCCAGCAGGCTCCTGCCACCACCTGGGGCTGCCACCAAGCAAGGCCCGATTCCCGTCTGTGGTCACTGCCCTGAGGGACAAGATCCCGTCCCGCGGCCACGTCATCATTCAGAACGGTCACTCCGTCGATGTCCACGGAGCGGGTGGCTTTAGCGCCTCCCATGAATCACTGGGGCTCTGGCACAGGGGTGCCCCGGCCGTGCCTCCACGCGGTCTCCCGTCCTGTCCCTTCCCCACGATACATTCCTCCAGGTGGCCTGACTCGTTCTGAAGGGACGTGCCCCCCACTGCCCATCACTGCCCCCTGCTGCCCCCGCTGCCCCTCGCTGACCCCTGCTGCACCTCGCTGACCTGTGCTGCCCCTCGCTGCCCCCTCTGCCCCCCACTGCCCCTCACTGCCCCCGCTGCCCCCTGCTCCTCGCCCCCTGCTGCCCCTCACTGACCCCTGCTGCCCCTCACTGCCCCCCCGCTGCCCCTGCTCCTCACCCCCTGCTGCCCCTCGCTGATCCCTGCTGCACCTCACTGCCCCTTGTTGCCCCTCACTGCCCCACACTGCCCCCTACTATCCCCTGCTGTCCCCTACCCCCCGCACTGCCCCCTGCCACCCCAAAGGGCATCATCACTGGCACCTGGGTGAAGATCCCCCAGCAGCCGTCCAGAACCGGGGGGCCCCCAGGGCTGCTGCCAGGTCCCCTGGGGGCATGGGAGAGATGTAGATCCTTGGGCCCTCCCAGGGGATCTGAGGCCAAAGGCCTGCACAGGCCCCGGAATCAGCATTTTCACCAGGTGCCGCTGGTACCCGTCCAGGGCTCCAGCTGGGCAGTGCTGCTCCTCCTGGGGGCACCCACTGACCTGCCCTCCTGCCCATGGGTGGCCCAGCCCTTCCTGACCCTGCCCTCCATTTACGGGTACTGGGATGGCCGGGACCAGCCACCCCAGTGGGGCCCCAGACACAGGTGCTCCTGGCTTCCTGGCCACATGAGGCGTCCCTGTGGTCTGAGGGCTGATGGGGGTGGGGCAGGGGCAGGACAGGAGGCCGCGGAGCTGGGAGCACAGTCGGGGGTCCCCAGCTCCGGGGTCAGCAGGTCCCAGAGTCGGTGCAGGCTGCGCGGGCGGGAGGAGCGAAAGCGGCACCGGCCCCGCTTGGGCCCCTGAGCCCAGGCCCTCTGCGCCGAGGGGCAGCCCAGGGCCACGCCGCCCGTGAGCAGGTTGGGGCTACGCGGGAGCCAGGGGCGTCCTCAGGGCCTTGGAGGCCTGGGCACAGGCAGCGGGCAGGCGTGCTGGGGACGGGCCCTGGGGTAGGGGCTGGGGTCCCAGAGGGGCCACTGCGGCCCCCGGAAGGGAGGGTCTGGGCGTCGTGGCGGGCGGGCTCGCACGCGGGGGCCTCTCCCGCTGTGGGTGGCAGCGGACCCCACGGTGGCTGCAGGGATGCGGCGAGGCTGAGAGGCGCCTCTGTCTGAGGGGCGGGGGGCTGGGCTGGGGTGGGGGGCTGTGTCCCACAGGGAGGCAGGGCCAGGGCCTGCGGGGAGCCGGGGAGGGGAGGCAGGGGCCGCCGTGCACACGGGGAGGGCGGAGGGGACAGCAGGAGGGACAGGGCGCATAGGCACAGGTGCCAGACCCGGAGGCAGCAGTCGGGGGGTTGGGGGAGCCCAGGGGTGGCCGCGGGGAGCAGGGCTGAGGGGGCACCGGGGGCGGCCAGCCTGGGGCTCGTGGCCCAGAGGGCCTGGGGGCTCGGCCAGCACTAGCCCACCTTCCCGCCCGCAGCCCAGGGGGCTGAGCCCCCTCTGTGCCCCCAGGATGGCCCTGCGGCTCCCTGCCCCCATCTGCTGTCCTCCGTCCTCCCTCCCGTCCTCCCTCCCGTCCTCCCGCCCCAGGCCGCTTCCTGAGGCCTGCCCCACCGGCTCCCTCCCCGCGCTCAGCCCAGGGCCAGCCTCCCCCCTTCCGGGCTCCCCAGGGCCGGCTGACC